AATCGACTTCATGTTTATTAAAACATTTAGATATGTCAAATTACGTCCCAGAATTTTAAGAGTAAGTTTTGGTAAGAGAATTAAATCGAACAAAAAGAATTAAATTTTCAATTTCAATGCTCGTAATATATCGAGACCACGTGTTTCTATATACGAATCAATCATTCGTATGTAGAACCGAATTTATTGAAATTTACGAGACTCAATAATAAATATTTATGCAGACACTCGCAGCATTTGCCGCGTAGAAGAATTCATCTTCAATCGACTTCACGTTTCATTCATTACGATCGATGATAAATTTGACGAATTGACGGGATTTCTGATGGAATCACACGCTCGCAGGTACTGCAAGCCGGTCAGTTGCGTTAGATGGGGTGCGATCAGCGATTCGTGTCCTCGAGCGGTGGTGAAGTGTTGCGATGGCGAGGAATTCCCGGCGGACTATGTGATCGTCACCGTGTCGCTCGGCGTTTTGAAACACCAGCACGACAAACTTTTCTGCCCGGCGTTGCCCGCCGAGAAGGTCGAAGCCATTTGCAAATTGGGCTACGGATACGTGGACAAAGTGTTCCTGGAGTACGCGAGGCCGTTCTGGGTATGGAAAGAAGGTGGCATCAAACTGGCCTGGTCGGCTGATGAACTCGCTGACAGATGCGACTGGGTAAAAGGTACTACTCGAAGAATGATATTAAACAAAAATAACTTTCACGAACATTTAAATTCTTTAAATTTCCTATTATTTTATTTGGAAGTATGGATTTTTTTTTCCCCCCCGGTACTATGTGTGAAAAACAACGTCCCTCGAATGAGAAAAGATTATATATTTGACAATCAGACAAAGCGTCTGCAAATTCATCGAAATTTCTAAACCTAACCTAAAACCTAAATAACCTAACCTAAATTTCTAAACCTAACCTAAAACATAAATCATTATTTTACGATATCTTGTATTACACCGAGTGATAGATCAATAATCAAAATAATGCTAGTGCAAACACGAGTTAACTCGTGACCGGTCGACAGTGTGTTAAAAATGAATGATTTTCGTAACAGGGATTTCAATGGTGGAGGAATTGTCGAGCTCGCAGCATGTTCTGTGCGGGTGGGTTTGCGGCCGGGAGGCAGCGGATATGGAACTGTGCTCCGACGAAGAGGTCGTGGAGTCGATAACGAGAGTTCTCCGACAATTCACTGGCGATCCCACGCTTCCTTATCCGGCGAATCTTCTCAGAAGCCGATGGTGCATGGATCAATACTTCGCCGGTTCGTACAGTTACATGGGGATAGACAGTACCGTTGGTCATCAGTGTGATTTAGCTAGTCCACTGCCAGGTATAAATATTTCCTAAAGTATGCACAGTGGCATGATAAAGAATTTAAAAAAATCATTCTTTTTATTTTTTTTCTAACTAGATGTAATGATAATGACTCCTCGTTAAAATTTGTTGTACGATACTCTCTATTTTTTTTTTTTTTTTTTTACCATTTCATTAAATTAACATTCCGTCAATGCTCTAAGTTCAATGAAATGATGAGAGGAAAGAAAATCATGCAGTAAGTATCTTCACTTTCCCTCATATCATGATACATCATTCTCAAAAAAAAAAAAAAAAGAGAACTCACGATTGTCAAAATAATAAAGATTTCATGCCACACGATCTCTTTTTTGCTTAGTCAATATCGGTTTAATAATTACTGACAATTTTTCATTGTCATTGGCACAGTTATGCTTCCTTTCATCTGGAATAATTTTGGAATTGTTTTTTGCTCTCTAGGCAGTTGCGAGCCTATACCGCCGATTCTTTTATTCGCCGGAGAAGCCACGATCCCAGGACATTACAGCACGGTACACGGTGCCAGATTGAGCGGCATTCGCGAGGCGGAGAGAGTAATTCAACTAACGAAACGATTCGGTGGTCCGCCAACTATGGCATCCACCAACAAGAGCTGAGTTTGTCCATGCTGTTATGCTAATTTTGTGCAAGTGTGAAAGAGAGATAACCTAACCTAAACCTAAACCTAACCTAACCTAATAAACCTAAATCTAACTTAATAAACCTAACCTAATAAACCTAAACCTAACCTAAATCAGTATATATAGCTTGACTTCTTGTCCACGAAGATTGTTTTTGATTATTTGTGAAATTTGACAAAACTGGTATCATGAATTAACATCTCTGAGAGATGTTTTATTTGCATTATATGATTATAAATAAAATGTAATTCTATTTATATATTATATAATTATGTTTTTGGTTGTTGTGGCATGTTTGTTTGCTGTACTCGTATGCCACAAACTGTTAATCTTAATAAAGAATGTACATTTTAGCATATGTAACTAACGTTTCTCTTTCTTCTTTTTTTTTTTATGGTGAAACTCTAGTTTTTCTGAAAATATTGAATTCTTGTTATTAGAGATTAGATTAACACAGAAGATTCGTATATGTGTAGTTGTTCATATTCGAACACTAAATATTCAAACTGTTACAAACAAAATCGTGTAACAATAAAATTAGAAATTCGCTTTGAAACTTCTGAGATGAATCTTTTACATCATGCAGTTTCTTGAAAGTAATCGTCATAATACGTAAAAACATTGGAAAAAATTTTTTCATGACTGAATCTACAGTAATCTTCGCATCCTTTATCTTGAATCCTGGCTGTCATGCGAAAATGAAAAAATTACGATTTCGTGAATTTTCGTCGTCTAAACCTAATACTTAAAATTCAGTAAAACGGTTAAGTCGTAAAAAAAAAAAAGTCGTACATCAATACAAGTTTCAGAGGAGGCTTTAATCTTTAAATCCATTATAGATTCAGTTACAAAAACAATTTTTCAATACTTTTACGTACTATGGTAATTTACGACATTTTCAAGAAAATTGAAAACATGATGTAAAAAAGCTAGAATAAATGAACACTCGTGTTAGAAATAAAATGAATAATATATGTTGAAAGTACGAGAAATGAGCTGAAGTTTATTATCGTACGTATTTCATTTTATAAAAATATGACAGTTCAAATATTTAGCGTCTGTATGATGCGAGCAACTGTACATACAAAACAATCTCGACTTTACGTTACATTCAGTATATTGTTTATTGCATTGAAATTGTTATAACGGCGATATAACAACAGAGACTTTCAACGTTTATATATAGCATAATAAACACTTTATATATATATATATATATATTACAACGAGTTGCTCGTCTCACGAGCTCACGGGTGGCTACATACATATTTCTTTTATTACTTTCCGTTGGTCCCGTTTAACAGCAATCCACGTTGTTGTAGATCCGAGGAAACGTTCTTACGTTTCACAAGCGATAACAGTAACAGTTTACTCATGCTTCTGAAATTATATAATCATCTCACGCCAACTATTTTCCAACTATTTTCGTCGCTGTGAAAAAAGTTTCTTCTCGCATATCAAAAGATATACTTATTACTAAAAATTAGGTAGCTTCTTTTCAGTCACTGTGTAATTATTTCCAACATGGCGTAAACATGGTATACAAAGGTAAGCTTGATTATATGTGCGTTCAATAATCAACCAGTGCGTACGATAATAGTGTTCACAGCTTTCCTTTTCTTGGGGGCAGGCAATTATATCTCTCTAAGAACGTTTTCCTCGTTCGATAGACCAAACAGCGTAAAGTAATTCTAGATCTATTTATTGTCCCAGTTGCAGCACTACTTTATCTTCAATATGCCATAATTATACTCGATCTAGTAAAACGAACAAGCAGTTGCTTCCAAGTAGTTAAATATAACAGCAACGTTTCAAGTTGTCAGATACGAATAATGATGAATAATGATTGTGTTAAGTTCTAAGGTGCTAATCAATAGACTGCGGGATTTTCATAAGACGAAAATTTGAAAGACGATGCAGAATTGCATGAAATGTACATGAAATTATGCAAAAATACAATCTATCTATTATTTCCTTTAAATCAAATTCTCCAAAATGATGATTTCCTACGTAGAAATCTGCTAACACTTTACCGACCGGTAGCTTATTAATCGACCCTCGGTCGGTAAAGTGTTAGTTACATTAACTCGGCAGCGCGCGAAGATCTGATTAGCGAGATGACTGATTACATTTGTTGGATTACGATTCAATTATAAATCATTCAATTACGAAAGTTAATATTCGTGTATATGTGTATATTTACGTATATAGGTCGCCGTCATTTTAACACGTTCCGTGCCAAGCCATTTTTGCCATTTAATATTTTCACTAAAGGTCACAATCTTTCATTACATCATCAGTCGATAAGTAGTTCTCTTGTTTAGAGTAGCTATCACATCTTGTGTGTACCACTTGTGGTAATATTATTAGAAATATGGTGGTACACATGGCACGGAACGTGTTAACCAAGGAACATGAAATGCACAGACGTTTGTACGTTGTGAATAAATAAATGTTTTTACCGGAAGTTCACGAGTACTTCCGTCACAAAAAAAGCGCGTACTGCTGTGTTAATATCGTGTGATAACATCGAATAATTCTGACGCGTTGAATGATGCATTAATTACAATAATGTTCATCGTGGTTCGAATACGATTATGGCAAATAATCATTGGGGGAACGAAGATGACTTGCGTAGACGAGGAAGACAAAGATATTTTACATACAGATACGTACTGGCTACTTACAAACTATCGTACATATAACTTATTTACAACATAAATATGTATATACATATATAATTTAATAATTATAAGTAAGTATATGCGTATGTGCATCACTTTGATCTGACAGAACACAAAAAGTATACATAGTACGCACGTTCGTTTTACAATAACGTAATTTTTAAATAATTTAACGAAACAGAAGATTTCGTTTGAAATTGATATATTCTTGCCCGACAGCTAGTACGCGAATCTACGATGATTATTTTTTATCACGTCACCTGGATATGTATATTTGCGAACGAATGAAAGCGCGCATCTATGCAATTACTTTAAGCACACAGAACATTTATCTAACGCTTCTCCATCTTTCTACATGTTTATTATACACTATCAAACAACTCTTCTCCCGAAGTAAAACCGTAAGAATTGTTTCACACGGATACTCAAAAATTCTCGAGATACATACAAGGTGAAATAAGTTGTCCTCTTCATTGACAACGTAGCAGAATAAAATGATTTTAATAATACTTTGCCTCCTAAGGAATTAACGAAACTAATAACATGAGGTACAGGCCAGGAATATCTCTGTACAGTTTCGCTTCGTATTTTCGGTAATAAAACACCTAAGCATTGCTTAAAACACGATTGAAGTCAACAACGTTAATAACACCTGTTATACTTGATGTCAACCATGATGCCTACGTCAATACTGTACAACACACTCGACATGAAGATATAATACTACAGGTCAATACTTTCACGAAATACTTCACGATAAAATTCTCATCAGAGAAAAAGAAATATATATATATATATATATATATATAATACTTTTATTCGTATTGTTTTGATCTTTAAAGAGTCGTTCGAATCTCTAAAAATACGACAAAAATTTCTAACAAACAAAAAAAATGACGAACTGCTCTTTTTTGACCAGTTTGCTAACGTCGAGGAAACAGGTGTTTGCAAATCTTCGGGACTATCACTCTGATTCACTGTGGGACAGTTATATATTTGCAAGACGCGCCGATTGAACTTGCCAACAATTTGCGCAATTTAGTCGTTGCTAAAGTTACACACGCGCACGTTTAAAGAAAGCGGCCTAACGCTAATTGCTTGGCTATGCGTCGGAAAAGTGGCACAAGGCGACACGTAATGCCTGCGTTTATAGCAAATAATGCGGTCGCTATAGCTATAGTGGAACGGCAACATCGAAAACAGATCTTTGGCTTGCTTCTTACAATGGACTTGTTGTTCAACGTACTTCCGGACTAGTTGGTATTGTCATGAAGCCTTCCCACTCGTCCGTTAATTTACAAATGTCTTTACTGACTTTCAAACACTTCAAGAAGCAATTGCTGTCATTGCAAAGACGGAATAACGATTCCAAGCAAATTGTTGTTGGAAAGAAAAAGATCGAGAATCGATCGTTCCAGTTGTGTAATTTCGATCTACTTGTCGTGGGAAGAGCAATAACAGAGAAATAACCTTCCAAAAATGTGTGATGGAGATTTTACAATCACTATTGGGACGATATTGGTCGTTTGAAAATTAAAACGAATCAGATGAAATATCTTGAAGACCAAAGGAAGATTTTCGATCCTCTTTTGAACAAGAAAAACATGCAGCGTACGTTGCACGAATGTTCTATACATATATATATATATATTTTTTTTTAAAATGTTTTTTTTTTAATTTTCGTATTTAACTAATTGATATTTGGATATTATATAAAAAGTTTCTTAAATGAGATCCTTTTCTTTTTTTAACGTTATATAATGGTCTTCAACTTCCGATCGACAGTGTAGTTTGTCGCTTCATTATCGCACATTTGTGATTATATTAAGTCATACGAAACGTTGGATGTTTTTGAAAATAATCCTCGACTTGATCTAATCGAAATGGGCACTATTTGTATCCACGGGACGATATTCTTTTATCCTGGTGAAAAAGACACCTCTTCGAAGATTCAAGAATCATTGCGAACTTTTGAAAACGTTAAAAGTTGAAAAGTTGGAGAGAGATATATATCCC